CTTTGCTGTTTGTCTTGTATTCCTACCACAAGTCCCAATGTCCTCAAAGCCAAAATTCAGCCCTTGTTCTCTTTGGTGCTTAGGGTTTTCACCAAATACTACCTAAATCTTCACAGCTGGTGTTTTGTTTTGCTTATATTCTTGATATGTGTCCCTTTGGCTGCCCTCTCTCAATGAACAATGAGACAGTTTATAAATGTCAACTGTGAAATCAAATCCAATCATTCATATTTGAAGCCCACCAAACACTATCTCTCATCACTTCCTTTGATATTTCTCATGTTTCCTTTGAATTGACATCCCTGAAGGGACAGATCAGCTCACATAACTCTGAGAAAGGATACATCACCCTGAAGGCAGCAGATTTCATGTGTTAGGTTGCAGTTCCTATTATTCCAAGCGAGCCTGGAGGTTGTGTTAATGGTAGTCCAGGATGGGCAACATACAGCTTGTGGGCCACATGTGGCCTCTCCTGCCTATTTTTTGTTGGTGGCCAGACCTCCACGGATTTTGGGATGCACCTTCTATTGACTGGGGGGGTAGGGAGAATGAAAATTAGCTCCATGGGCCACCATAGTTGCTCACCATATTTGTTTAAGGAGGTTATTCTCGTTCCTGCGGTTGGTTTCTGAGCATAACCTGGCTTTTCATGGAAACAACTGCTCCTAATGTGAAGTGGATATTTTGTCATGTTATTCCTGTCTAGAGTTTGCCCCATTGTTAGGTAAAGTGAGGCAGCTGCTTCAGGGAACAGATGTAGGGGAGCAGCAGTGAGATGCTAGAAGTCAGAGATGTGGAATCTATGCAGACTACCATGCATTGCTGAAAATGCCTTGTTCCTCTCAGATGTATGTCATACTGTATTGGCTGAAGGGGGATTCAGCTGTCATTTTGGTCAAGTTCTATTATGTCAAAGAAATGGGAGCCTCTGTCATTTTGTGTTTCCCCTCAGGCTGCAAAATATCCTGAACCACCACTCTACTTGTGTCAGTCAAGATTCTTTGCACCCAATTATGGAGTTACTTGGATGGTTGGGATGTTCATAAGCCTTCTAACATCACAAGAGAAGAAAAATGGTGGCCTCTCTGAGTGGAGGGCAACTGCCAATTTGAGTGGGGATTATTTGCTGTTGGACCATGTAGACAGAACTATGAGCCGATCTGAGAACTGTAAACAGGAGCAGGGAGGTAATGAATAGAACTCAGTAAAATTACTTTTTGGACCCCAGTTCTCAGTATCCTTTCAAAATATGCTTATTAAGGGAAGTGATGAGGCACATATTGATAGGGCTAATGTATTCTTGATGGAAATGTGATGCTTGAGCTTGGAGAAATGGAACAAACAATAAAGCACCTTCCCTTATATAATTATACATGTGTAACATGCATATGAAGTGGAAGAGGGCAAACCTAGCAGTCAGCTGGAGTGCCAAATTACATGTACTTCCTTCAGATTCCCAACTATTACAGAGAGAGAGAGAGAAATAGGAATGTTACCGCTTCAGATGCACAACTATTACAGAGAGAGAGAGAGAGAGAGAGAGAAATAGGAATGTTAACTGATAGCAGTCCCTCACTCCTAAATATGAACTGCACTAGAAAGTGGAAACTCTTGGTGAAATGGATTGATATTATAAATGTGTTCAGGCCAGACAGAAGTAAGTATTTCTGTACACAATGCATAGCTAACATGTGTAGTTCACTGCCACAAAGTGAAGGGATGATCAATAACAGGCCAGTGGAGTGTCCTGCCTGTACCTTTTCTTCCCTTGTTGGATTGACTGAGTTGGAGCCTGCCTTTCTCTCAAAACCAAGATAAAAAGAGGATCACAGCAGGAAACAGCTAAAGATAAAACCAAAGATCATTAAAATGTTAGAACAATTAAACAAGCTATAATAGTAAAGTAGAATTGAAGTGAAAATAATTTGAATACACATTGATAAAGAAAAGAAAATAGAGGAACCACCAGTTCAGGGACCCTTTCCCAACAGTCAGTCAGTTGTCCAAAATCTGCCTAAATAAAAAGTCTTTGCTACCTGGCAGAAAACATCATAGAACAATGTCTCTGACTTCGGTCGGAGACAGTCCAGAAGGTTACCATAAGCAAAGGCATGGAGAGTCCCTAAGAGGTCCAGCACAACCTACAAGGCCATACAGTGGACCCTCTACTTACGGAATTAATCCGTATTGGAACGGTGGCTGCAAGTCAAAAAGTCTGTAGGTCGAATCTCCATTGACCTACAATGCATTGAAAACCGATTAATCCCATAACTGGCAGTTTTTATTCTATTTTTGTTTCATTTTGGTTTTATTCTGGTCTGTAAGTCGATTCTCCGGCTGCAAGTCGAATCTAAATTTTGTGGCCAGAGAAGTCTGTAACTTGAAAAGTCTGTAAGTCGAGGGTCCACTGTACTCCCTTCATTCAGTACCCAGTTTTGACTATTCACCAAGGAGACTGAAACCATCTCCATTCCACTCTGAAGCCAGAGGAGACCAAAACTATCTCCACTCACCAAGGAGACTGAAACCATCTCCATTCCACTCTGAAGCCAGAGGAGACCAAAACCGTCTTCACTCACCAAGTAGACTAGGACCATCTTCATTCAACTCTGAAGCCAGATTGGATTTGATCAAAATAATCTGTCTCACTAGGGTCACCAGGTTTTAGGGTTACTGGCCAAAGTCTTAGGATAGACCTCTCTTTCCTTGGATTTCCAGGTGAGAAGACATAGCTTAGGGCAAGTGACACTGGTGGAGGAAACAGCCTGATTTATGTGGATGAAGTGGCTTTAAAGTCTGCTTCTGATTTACTGTATGTGGATGAAGTGGCTTTAAAGTCTGCTCTATCTACACCCAGGACTCACTGGGTCCGCACAGAAGTATTTCTATGTGTTTTGTCCTTGTGCAACATCAAAAGCCAGAATGACTCCTGGATACTGGTAGTGCACGCAATTGGGTCTATCATGGTGTCTCAAGCAAGGCAGTAGGTGGTGTGCCAGAGTCACAATTTGTGAGCCTCTTCACAATTTGGGAGACAAGGAAGTTTCTGAATGTCTGCAAAAGGTCTGGGGGGGGGAACATTCCCATATATATTGTGTGTGTGACTTATTGTAAAATGCAAGCCCTAACAGGCTGCCTGAAAACGTGTGTTTATCCTCAAAGGCTCTGGGTACCCAGATTATTTTGACAACCACATTTAACCTAGATTCTGAGCCTATGTACCTGAACTCCTCTCGTGCTCATTCCCAGCATTGGCAGGCCCAGGGGCAGCTCAAGTCTCTCTCTCTCTCTCTCTCTCAACTCTTGTCTTGCCTACATCTATTACACCATGTGGACATTAAAAGAGACTACTCTCTTGGTCTTAGGTTTTCGTTCTGGATCTCTCAGGGGATAAGCAATCCTACATCTCATCCAGGAAGCTCTCCCACCACACTCTCCAGCATCTTGCCTGACAAGGTGGAGAGTGGCTCAACGTTAATCCAGTAGGGTGGGATTTGGGGAGTGGTTTTTCAACAAAAGTCTTATTATTTCCTCCACTTATTAGACACACTGGAAACTGCCTTGCTGCAAAGAGGCATTCACTGTTCCTTTTATCTATTCCATCTGTTCCTTGGACATTTTTATAGGCCAAGATGATCAAACACCCAGCAGAGACATGGTGACTCTCACTTCTTCTAAGATCATGTCCATATCATCAGGCTACACAAACTGAAAGGTATCCATTATCACTAGATATTCTCTGGACTGCATAATCAACAATGTCCATGTCAAAGCAGATCTGAGCAATGCTACGGAAGTGTAATAAGACTCATGCTCAATGTAAGATATGGGTGGGGACCTAGGATTTCGTGGAGTATTAGATAACATATCTTGTAGCCTGTGTGGGGCAGAGGGTGTCAGATAGCAGGCATTATCTTCAGGGTAACTTTTAAGAAGGAGACCAGGACTGCAAATGTAGCAAGACTTCCTCACAGACTTCTGTGGGTTGGATGGACAACCTTCATAGGCTAGATATTCTCTCCCAATGCCATAGGTCATCAGAGAAAAGGTGAGCACATGTCAAAGTAGCAGTGGAGTTGAGAGGAGGAACTTGGAGGTTCTCAGAAGGAAGATGTGTCCTTACAGAATCTTTGTTCCATCAATGGGTTCTTTTGTGTATATTGTTGAAGCCCACTGATATAAATTGTTAATTAACCACTGATCAATTTATTTCAGAAGAAATGGACTAAACCGGTAGGTTTTGTTTTTTACTACAGCCAAGCACATGGATATTACTATTTTTTTCTTAGCTAAAATACTCAGGTTTATACAGAATATGAGTTTGGAATTAACTAGTTACAAAAAATATGTTACTTGTAATTAATTCCATTTTGTAACAACTACATTGTAATTAAATTATATTATGATTACAATATGTTGAGGGACAACTTAATTCCTTGTGATGGTATAACTATAGCTGTTTTAGTTATTCTTTTTTTAGTTACACAACGTATATGGTCTCACTACTTTGATATGTGTTGCACCTTAGACCAGAAGCCTGCAGCAGTTGAATGACAGCATTAAATTAAATGGCATTTGATTTTTTTTAAAAAAAGAAGACTATTTTACTTTCTTTTAATAACACAAAAGGAAAGAACTGTGTTTTTTCGAAAAGACTGACAAAAGAAAAGAAGAGCAGGAAAAAAATCACTTTAAAGACTTGACAGTTTTATTTCAGTGTGAACTTCCATGTGTCAAAATGCAGTTCCTCAGACATGTGGATTTTGATCTATAAAAGCTCACACTGAATTAAAGCTGTTCGTCTTTTTGAAGTGCTATAATATTTTTCTTTCCCCTCTTGCCCCCCCCCCCCAGTTCTTTTGCCAACATGTTGAGACAGACATAACTACTTCTTTGGAATTTTTTAAAAATAAAACTGCAACTGTAACACTAACCAGTTTTTAGCTCTGGAACTGCAATTTATTGATTTTTCTAGAATTAACTTTTCAAGCTCTGTATAGAATAAAGCATTTGTGCATGGAAATTTTCTTCAGCCCCATAGAAGATATACAATATAGGGCCATCATATTGTAGGCCTGTTTTAAAGTTTAACATACAGAACACTTATCATTCAGTGGCACTGCACAGGTTCAGGATACTTTAGAGCATCCCTGAATCAGTCACAGTGTCCTCGTAGGGCTGGTAGAAATCTCTCAAGCCTTCTAACTGCAGCTGAATCCCATCTTCAGGAGCAGCGGGAGTGTTCTGGGGGCTGTGAGTCAAGATGGTTGTTTTCCGACTGCAGAGGCTTCCATTGGAGAACTGCCTCTTGAGATTGGAGTGAAGACTCCCACAACAGGAGAGAAAGTGCAAGATGTCCTGACAGAGACGTCCACTGAAGAACATGTAAATCCAAGGGTTACAGCAGCTGCTAAGGCTGGCCAGCAACATGGTGATAGTAAAAGTCACATTACTCGATTCTGAAACAAAGAAGGAAATAAAGATAGCACTTTAAAAAAAAGAGTCTATGCCAATACATGCAGGCTTTCAGATGCAGGAATCACGCCTATCTGCCATAAACTGTAGGCATATGGCAACCTATCCTGCAGTCATTCTTGACCAGTGTGGCTTCTGGGCACATAATACATGCTCAGTAATGCACATTCATTGATGAGGTGGTCTTCAATATGAGAGCCAATGTGGAATGGTGATTACAGGGTTGACAAGGGCTTGGGAGTTCCAGGTTCTAAAAATTAATTATGTCTTAACAGACGAGTACTCCAGAGTGGCAGGCACCACTTCTGAAGTATACTCCACTCTTGTATTACACATGCCTAATCTAAGACACTGTCTCTGCATGACATTGTTTCCAACCCAAATATGTCTTTATTCATGTCCAGGTTTAATTAACTTGCTTTAATTTTGTTTAATTAATCATTCTAAATTTCTTTTGTCCATTCACAGTTACCTCACAGGCAAGATCAGAATCTCCCCTAGTCATGAGTCATAAACTCATATTTTAGAACTTTGTGAATCAATGTCTGTCATTTATAACTATCTAAGTATGTTTCAAAGGGTATACTGTTTAGAGATTGAAAAAAATAAAGCAGGAAATTACATTCTGAAATCAATGACACACTGGCACAATTCTTGTGCATTTTCTTAGTGGTTTGGTTTGTAAAGAAAGAATTAGCACCCCCAAGCGACTGGAACTGTACACATGTTTTCCTGTAATAACAGAACATTTAAATCTAAAGGCTCTGATCTGTTTCATAAAAATCAATTAAAAATTGCCATTGGTTTCAAAAGGAATAACATTGTTCTTAAGAATATAATCTCCACAGATAGATGGTGCTAACCAGAAAGAGCATGTTGACTGGAATATGGCAGGGTTTGGGAACATTGGGCCCTCCAGCTAGTTTGAAGTACAGTTTCCCTCATCCCTTAACAATAGCCATGGTAAGAGGGGCTAATGGGACTTGTAGAGTGAAACATCTCAAGGACTAAAGTATACAAATCTCCTGTTTCCAGTAATGATCTATGGTGCTTGTTATGCACATAGTGAAAGTTCCATTGAGCCTTATGTGAATTACTCTGCCTTGGGAGTGCTTTGCCAGCAGAAAGATGGATTGTCTTCAGTCTCTGTGTGTGACAGATATCACCTCCTATTTATCATGCCAGATAGCCTGATTGTTTCTTAGTACACGTATATACAAGAGCAAACATGTGTTTGCCAACATGTAAATCTAAAATGACCCCACCCTGTCATTACCTAAAACCCAAAGAATATTATAACTCAGGTTTTGGGGGATGTGAGCCCAGATTTGCCAGTCTCTGTCACATCTTTGCTATGGCTGATTGCACTCTTTGAGTTTCTTTTGGATTCAGTGCTTTAGGCTAGGAATTATGCCCTCTCCAAAGTGCTAGATGCCTTTTAATGATAATAATTCTCTCTTTCTCTAAATATGTTATTTTTAGATTTAGACAGCTATATAAAGATTCATTCTCCAGATGATCTGTCTAAGAAACACTCAGTCAAGGTAATGTAAATAACTCAAAATAAGGAAAATTAACACCATAAAAGCTTACCAACAAATTCACTTCTGCATTTGAGTCATATAATCAATTGTGTTTTGACATACCCTTTTTTTCTATAGCATGTGGTTTATGATTTCCCTTCAAAGCCACAATCAAGGCACATTTGGATCTTTTATCAGCCTAGATATATTGTTATTTGTATAGGGGCAAAACACAATTTCCTCCAAATCTCTTCACATATAGAATAATTTATGTTCTGCTCTGACAAAAGCTAGAGGAGATGCAGAGCTATGCAGTCACACAATTAGAACAGCATGCATATTGTGGATGTTTGCAACAGACATCAGCCTAGGCATTGCTATTTAATCTGATGCTACAAAAGATGCTGACATGCCTTGGAAAAGAAGTCAATCTGCCGTCCTGCCTGGTATGATCAAATGAATGAGTAAGAGAGATGGTTCATCTCTACTAAGGTATGTGTAGAAAACAGGAGCTGTGTGTATTTTTTGTATGGGAGAGGTAGAGGGTCTCTGAAGTGTGTGCATACCTGTTTGTATATGTTTTAAGAAAGTGATCTACTTTTATTTTTATATGCAAGTGAATGTACTATTTCTGGGGTGGGTGGAAAAGCTATACTCTGTTCACTAGGAAGTCTGACTGTGCTCTAGTAATTGCACCTGGGAGCGAGCAGGGTGAAAATTCCCCACTAGCTTTCAGCTTCTACTCACCATCATTTGGTGCATTCTTGTCCCACACAGACCACATCTGCACACTGAAGAAGGGCGCCCAGCAAGCCACATAAGCCAGCACAATGACAAAGGTCATCTTCACAGTGCGGATCTTTGCACGAGAGATAGTACGGACACTGCTGACACGGGAACCAGACTGGCACTCAGCTCCCTTCTGAGTTGAGGCTGTGTAGGAAATGGAAGCTGCTGTACAGGATCCCCTACCGTGCTGTGTCTTCCCTCGAAGGTTCTTGCAGATCTTGTGGCAGATGAGACCATAGCAAATGGTGAGGATGGCCACGGGCAACACAAAGACACACAAAGTCATCCATGTGATGTAGGCCTTGGCCCCCCAAGGGTACCTGAATTCTGCCCAACAGTCCAGCACACCAGAACCTTGGCGTACTTCTCTCACTGAGAAGATGAAGAGTTGAGGCAAGCTGAGCAAGCAACTAAGCAACCATGTGGTCCCAATCATCAGGTAAGCCTGGCAGCTGGGCTGCTGGAGAGTGCGCAATGGGTGGCACACGGCCATATAGCGATCCAGCGTCATCGCAATCAGCATGTAGGTGGAGGCAAACATGCTCAGCACCTGCAAGTACTTGACAAGTCTGCAAAGTGGATCGGGTCCCTGGAAACGATAGGTCACCTCCCAAATCATCTGAGGAAGCACCTGGAATAGGGCAACCCCAAGATCAGTCAGGCCCAGGTGCAGGATGAAAAGGTGCATGCGACTCATCTTCTTCCTTAGTCGGTACATGGCGAGGAGGACACCCAGGTTCCCCGCCATCGTCACCACCAGAATGGCAGCCAGAACCCCAATCTCAGCTTTGGCAAGTTCCTCATCTCGAGTGTAGAGGACTGTCTGGTTAGGGTCCACTTCTGGTGGTCTGGTGTTCTCCAACGAAGAGCTATCCATGGAGCTGCTAAGGTAGGTGCTATTCCTCTCCATTGACAAAAGAGTCAAAGATGCCTGGTGATTTCTCAGAAGTAAGTACTGCAGTATGAGGCACTGGGAGTTAGCAAGTCTTATTTCCCCCCCAAAAAAAAAATTATATCATATCAGATTATCAGAAAAATAGCACCTTTCTGAATGAATCTGAAGAAGCCTGGTCATTTTTCCCATCTCTGAGTTGGATCTTATTTAACTGTCCATATCCTTATTTAACCCCAATACTTCTTTCCAGGATGAGATGAGTCAAAAGTTAGCTAACAACAGAATCAGTTTTAAAATGCCTTTCCCAGTTTGCATGAAAATATGTAAATTCTGTGTAAAGCTGCAGCATATAAAACAAATCTTTACCAGTTTTCAGTGCTCACTTCTGCATGCATCTTAACCCCCTTCCTTTCCTTTTGGAATTAGCTAGTTTAAGCTATATAATTCATATTCTCCCATTGTCCTGAATTCTCTGCTAGCTCCTTACTTTCTTGAGATCCATTCAAAATTCTGCTTCTCTGAATCAATGAAGTAATTAATGTTTAGAGCCTTTTCTGTATTTATTGGTAAATACATAAAGCAAACAAATACCAGGAAAAACACATTGCACAGTCAGTCACACATTTTATCTAAGTAATAAATTGAATTAGAAAAAAGCATTTACAAACAAATCCAAGGTGATGACTATCTTTCTTGGAGCCCGTGGTAGGTATCGAATCTGAATGCTGCTGATTCCCAGGCTGTGTGAACAGTGTCTGCTATGTGAGTCTGGGTTTTATAGAGAGAGAGCTGCCTGCTCTGGTTGGTTCCTGCTGTCTAGCTCCATTGTCATCTTTGCTGTTGAGCTGGAGTCTGTGCAGAGAATCTCTGCCTAATACAAAACACACATGCTTATACACCTATAACTCTGCTTTATACAACATGCATGTTGTATACACACACAGGAAGTGCCCCTTTCCTGGGCAAAGAAGCAGATGCAAAATAAGAAATAAAAATCCAGCTTTACATCTATTGCTTGTGATTAATATTTTTCTCTCTTTGTGTCTTTTTAAAATTTTTTACTAGTTTTACTGTAACTTTTGCACAACTGTGCAGCTCACTTTCTGCCTCTTGGATTCGCATGGCTTCTTATTACAGTACATATCCTCTCCTGCTCTCTCCTTCTAATCACAACAGGTTCATGTAATGCAATAGAATAGACTAGAATAGAATAGAATAGAGAGTCAGTGTCCATTTTGGAAGAGCTGATTATCAATGTATTTCAAGTGCAGTGTTTTTTAAAGAATTATTGCAAACACAAAATGAATAAAAAATTGTTGCTCTTTAAGACCAGACCAATAGATTGCTCACAAAATTTGAATTTGAGATCTGCTGAGATTAGAGATTTATGCATGAAATGTTGAACAGTTTCCGCTACACATAATAAAAGCAAAAATGAGTCATTTTTCACTTTCCTGAATACTTCCCCAAAATGTAATGCAGAAGCGTCATAGTGATAATTTTACCTAATAGAATATCTTGATCTCGGGCAGAGTTTTGCTGTGGTGATTGTAATGGTGATAGTGTTGCTCCTTTTATTTCCAAGGAAGCATCATTTGGGTTTAACTGGTGTTAAGATCATGGGCTTTATCAATAGGTTGCTTGTTACTCCCTCAAGGAAGTAATAAGCAAACACTGGCTGCTTTCTGTATATTACTACTTCTTACCCCCCCCCCAATCTGTAGTTTTTCCTGCAGATGGGAGGAATAAAATAATACAGATAAGGTGTTGCTACTCTTTACTTAGCGAGCACCAGCCACAAGATCATGCCATGTGCACTCATGAACATATCATAGGTGTTAACTAAAACAAATGATTGTGTGAAGATAGGGCTACACTAATCTGTAGAAATGGCCATCTGCATGGATTTGTTGTATAGAGCAATACACATTACAGAGAATAATAATATTCTCAATTGTCTGAATCGTCTTATTGCCTGGCAGCGTACTCAAGTGTAAAATAAAATGAAAACAGAAATGAAATTCCACTAAATGTAAAACTGAAACAGAGAAGAACTTGAAAACCCTATTCCTGGTCCTTCCTTAGCATATATGTCATGTGGTGTTTATTCTTGTACAATAGCAATATCTTATTCTCTTCAAAAAGGAGGAGAGCAATCAAGAGATACTTTGCCAAGGGCTAATTCAGACCTAAATTGGACATACAGTACAGGTGTAACACAAATTGTTACTTGGGGTATGATTCTCCGGTGCTACCAGAATTGGGTGTACAGAAAATAATTGAATTTGTGTTATTTGAACATCTCCTTCCTCAAAACTGTGGCTGATTGTTCTCACTAACATGGTAAATTTATGTCAGGGTTGGGATCTTTTGCTATAAGTAGCAAGAGGCAGGGCTGACATGCTTGAACAGCCTTCCAAACAAATCATTCATTCCATACAGAAAACCGGATGTCAGAGAAAGGGTTGGTCTGTCATTGTTCCATAGAAGATGAAAGCTTCTTCCTGTAATCAACGTTACTAGATTCATCAGCAGCAATGACAACTGGCCATTTTGATGTATAATGTTCAATTACAACCATGTTATTGCCTGTTCTTTGAGTCTGATTGCAATTATTTCTTTCTATTTAATTAGAGCTATTACAATATTTTTCCCATTTAATCAAGCTATCAAATAATTTGGTTTTTAAACCATGTGGCTGGTTCTCATAGTCCAACTATTACTAGCCTGCTTAGTCCTGATACTTGGCCAGCAAAGACAGAGTAGAAGGCAAGTACATGTTCACATCCACTTTTAGCCTAGCTTGACTATCTGGCTGTTCAATAGACCACCCTATATTTAGCCTTTGGACTGGCTTCAAGTCTCCCTTCTTACACTGATTCTGTGTTTGGACCTTCAGACTACCACACTAGCACTGCTGAATCTTACTAATTTGAAGCTGCTCCGATATCCTGCAAATGCCCATGCCTAATCTAACTTAATTTATTTTTCTCTCCTTTATCTATTTATTATTTGCAATTATCTATGATTTTTGTCATTTTCTGTTAATTGAATATCCTGCAAATGCCCATGATATAGTCTGTTCTCCTATGGCAGGGAATTCCAGAGTCTGGATACAGCCAGTGAGAAGCCCCTGTCTGGTGTCCCAAGTAACACACCAAAGGGCCTCCTCTTGTGAGGTTCAGCCACACCTTCTGCTTGTAGTCCAGTTGTTCATTGCCTTACTTGTGTCAAATTTGAACTCCATAACAACCAGCTACAACCTGGAATCCTTGCTGACAACTGCTGGTGCTGCACCTTATCACTTCAAAATCATATCAAATCTGAAGGAATATCATAGGTAGGCAGTAAGGAATTTAGTAACACTCCTTTGTTGAATTGTGTGTGAATTCCAAGGTAGTCCTTTAAGGACCAAATAATTACTTTTGTCTAGTTTTGTATACCCTCTTTGTCTCTTGTTCTGCTTTGGAAAATGTCTAGAACATCTTAGTGTTCACCGTATGTTTGGGATGTTTGGGGAATTATTGCATAGGACAGCATTCTATTTGTAATGCCTGCCAGCATTATTTCAGTGGGAAATTGCTGTTGTGAAGTAGGTGTAAGATTTCCTATCACACACAATAAGCAGGACTTAGCATGTGACAGAAAATGCGTGCACTGGCTTCTTAACTTGTGGCAAATGGATCCTGAAAGTTGTCCGTTGATATACACTAGCATATTCAGATTCCGGCTATACAGCTAAAAGAAAGACACAGAAGAAGAGTTAATGATTCTTATAATATATTTTGTACTATATTTTGTACTATATGAATAACCTTGCTACACGCTAGCAAGATTATGCTCAAAATCCTCCAAGGTAGGCTTCAGCAGTATGTGGACCAAGAACTCCCAGAAGTACAAGCTGGATTTTGAAGGGGCAGAGGAACTAGAGACCAAATTGCTAACATGTGCTGGATTATGGAGAAAGCCAAAGAGTTCCAGAAAAACATCTACTTCTGCTTCACTGACTACGCAAAAGCCTTCGACTGTGTGGACCACAGCAAACTATGGCAAGTTCTTAAAGAAATGGGAGTGCCTGACCACCTTATCTATCTCCTGAGAAACCTATATGTAGGACAGGAAGCAACAGTTAGAACTGGATATGGAACAACTGATTGGTTCAAAATTGGGAAAGGAGTACGACAAGGCTGTATATTGTCCCCCGGCTTATTTAACATACATCATGCAAAAGGCAGGACTGGATGAATCCCAAACCAGAATTAACATTGCCAGAAGAAATATCAACAACCTCCAATATGCAGATGGTACCACTCTGATGGCAGAAAGTGAAGAGGAATTAAAGAACCTTGTAATGAGGGTGAAAGAGGAGAGCGCAAAAAAATGGTCTGAAGCTCAATATCAAAAAAACTAAGATCATGGCCACTGGTCCCATCACCTCCTGGCAAATAGAAGAAGAAAATATGGAGGCGCTATTATATTTATTTTCTTGCCGACAAAGGTCCGCATAGTCAAAGCTATGGTTTTTCTAGTAGTGATGTATGGAAGTGAGAGCTGGACCATAAAGAAGGCTGACCGTCGAAGAATTGATGCTTTTGAACTGTGGTGCTGGAGGAGACTCTTGAGAATCCCCTGGACTGCAAAAAGAACAAACCTATCCATTTTGAAAGAAATCAACCCTGAGTGTTCACTGGAGGGACAGATCCTGAAGCTGAGGCTCCAATACTTTGGCCATCTCATTAGAAGAGAAGACTCCCTGGAAAGGACCCTGATGTTGGGAAAGTGTGAAGGCAGGAGGAGAAGGGAACGACAGAGGATGAGATGGTTGGAGAGTGCCATCAAAGCTACCAACATGAATTTGACCCCACTCCGGGAGGCACTGGAAGACAGGAGGGCCTGGCGTGCTCTGGTCCATGGGGTCACGAAGAGTCAGACACAACTTAACGACTAAACAGCAACAACATAGCACATTTTAAACATGTGTCCTCTATCACCCAAGCCATGTTTAATGGTTATCTGAAAAATGAAGAAAGTTAAAGTGTGTCATGGGGATGAAGGAGTATTTATTAGCATGTGCTTATGAAAATAATTCCAGTGGCTCAGTGAATTGTCCTGATTTGTATCCTACTCAGCTTCTGCCAGAGGCAGTATTGACTTATTGCAATGATTCAGTGCTCCATCAAAAGGCTGTTATTTTGCTGATAACAGCATGTTTGTTTGCCCAGTGGGCAATCTGTTTTCCTGTTGCCCCCCTCCCCAGCTACCTCTTGCAAGTGCTTTTTTGCTTATACTGCTTATGAGGCATTGGATGACATGTGTGAGAGAAAACAAGTACAATGAAAGCCATGTGAATCCTTAGAGTGCATTCAGATTGATCTATTTATTTTTCAGCCAGCTGCCCATCCACATCTGCTATAGCTCCAGGAAAATATCTGCACTGGATGCTCAGTCATAGCAATTCTCACCTCTCAATCGCCTCACAGGCCTAGACTGGGGGCATATGGGGCTTAATTAAATCAGGCCTTGAATTAGACTTTTTTTTTTTTAAAAAAAGACTGAGTACATTTCTTAGCTTGCTTTGCGATATACTGTTGATCTGAACACAGTGAGTATATTCTTGGTGAGCTCACTACTACTTCTGCTGTGGAAGGATATGCAAAGCACAAAAAAGCTTAAATATTAGCATTTTAGTCTCTTTTAAAACATTTTATTTTAAGAAATCACATTAAACA